ACCAGCCACTCCTTGGAAGGAAGATGGGGCAATCTACTTCCGTAGTGATACTGCCTCGGAAACCCAAGGAGGGGTCACTATGAGTCGGGTCTGACTCGACGGCAAACAACACTCTCACATGCACACACACACACAATCTTTATGGAAGCAGATCACCAGATCTCTCTCCTGTGGAGCTGCTGAGTGGGTGTAAACTGCCATTTTTTCTGTTAGTAGCAACTGTTGTGCCACCAGGTCTCCTAAGCTCCATTCTAATCCAAAGATCATTTTTGTATAGACATAAATACAGGAAAACCCCCCAAATGAAAACTTACAAAAGAATATGCAGTGTAAGTGATATAACATAAAGCTACAACTAGGAGTCAAATGGAAACAGTAACAATTTAAAATATTACAAAAATTTTAAACCTTCTGAGAGAGAATAAATCTCTTTTCTTGGGCTAAGATCATTTCTGTTATATCACTGCTGATACTATATTTCCTTTATTGTGCTAAATATCTATGTAATCAAGTATTTGACATTTCAACAATGTTCACATGTACAATGCAGTGACATTAGTTATGTCCATCATGTGGATCAATAATCACTTTTATTAGTTCCCAAATTATCAATACTTCCCATATATTTAATGTCAACTCTTAAGGGAGGAAATCTGGTAGATTACTTTACCATGGAAAAAGATGCTGCTGACGTCACCAGTGGCCCAAGGCCAAGGCGCTCAGGAAGAGCTGATGGAACTGTGGATGTGGATCTCAAACTACAGGATCAGTTTATTACATATTCTTCCTTTAACGCTCCCTATTTATTAATAGCAATTATTTGTGAAGAGCTTTTAAGACTTTCCTACTCCTCGGAAGGAAGGTTGGGCAATCCTACTTCTGTAGTGATACTGCCTTGGAAACCTAAGGAGGGGTTGCTATGAGTCGGGACTGACTCGACAGCACATAACAACAACAACAACAACGACAGTTTTTAGATGTAGGTATCTAGTGGGAACTTTTGAGATCATCCTTATTTTCTAGGAGTGAATTAATCAAATGCCAAGCCTTGAGTTTCTAGAGGAATAACCCGCAGGTATCACTACGTGCATATGCTTCCCATAACATATAAATGCAATGATGAGTAGAGCACAAATAGATAAACAAAGCACAGTTGTGTTGGAGATCCATGCTTCTTTTCTAGGGTCACCTGCCAAGGACCTTCCCCTTTGTAGCAGCCTCCTAGAACATGATAATCAAGTAGATGCTTCAGCAACAGGAGCAAATGACTACTTGCAACTCATCTTCCTAAATCACTATGGAGCAGTGAAGGCTGTAAATCCTCAGCATGCTAGAGGGCTTTCCTGTTCTTCAAAATCATTTGTTATCAGCACAAGCTACTCCTGCTTGTTTCATTACTTACTTTGGCAATTGGATTCCTCTTTGAGTTGTCTTCTCCTTCTCTACAGGCCGCAGCAAACTTGATCCACTCTCGCTTTTGTCTTCTGACAGTCTGCCATTTTGTAGTGCCATTTTCCATATCTAATTCTTTCACCTAAACAAAAAATAGTTTAAATTTCCTACACTCTTAGAAAAATTTTAGTTATACAAAATAATCATATTAATTGAACATTGTAAGATGTATGCAGAAGGAACAATGGTATTGAACTTGATGAACAAAGAAACTTTTGACTAATTTCAAAACTGAAGATAGATATAGCTTGGTTTCCCCGGCTAGCTTCGTCTTTTGGAATTGTCTCACTTCTAACTATCTCGTTCTAGTGAATCAAATTTCATTAGTTATGTGTAGAGTTCATAATGTGTTATACTGTATTATCGTTGTTTTTCGTTTTTAAAGCTATTCTTACTTGATAGGTGTTGCCTACTTCTCCCTTCATTGAGTTCTGACTAGACTTTACCATCTCTAGAGTTGAACAGATTTCTAAGGTTCCATGCAAGTGCATTCTGTACAAAATAAAAATTGTGCTGGTGAGATGTGATCACCTAAAAGCTGGAAAATATTTTTTCTCTTCTGCTGACAAGGAGACAATGGAGGCACACATCCAAATGTGTTATTCAGGATTATTAACTGAATCGATACCTGCAATAATCCCACAGATGCTGATTCGTCCTCTCAGTGTTGCACATTTTTATCTATGCTGGCTGTATTTTTGCCCATTGTAGGCTTATGTCACTGTAATTGGTGGATGTTTAGGAAATTTTTGCTATTAAATAGTTTAGAAATGTTACTATATGCATAAATGTGTGTGTGCATGTTTGTGTTTGTAGGTGCTGATGTACGTATTAAATACATCAATAACATTATTTAAGCTAAGGTTTCATTTGACTGCCACTTTAGGGGAAGCAAATGTTCTATGTGAATGGAGCTTATCCTTTCAAGTACTGAAGCATTTGTATTCTGCCTCATTTTCATGCAACTTGCTGAAATGTATCACATATTCCCTACTTTTGGCAATCATAATAGTAAGTTTATTTTTTCTAATGATTTAAGATCATCATAATGAAGATTTAACTACTATAATAAAATAAAGACTTGCCAAAGATATAGAAGACAGCAGATTTATTTTCTGATCCCACTTAAACTGGAACCAGATTCTCTGTTGTTTAGTTGTGGCTATATATTGCTTGCTTTTGCATCTTTTCCTCATGGATAGATCTTCAATTGTCTTTCTTGCTAATATATGAAATTTTCTTCCTTTCCATTCTAAAGCTTTACCTTAATTCTTTTGCTTTGCTATACTTGACTCATTGCCGTTGAGTCAGATCTGACTCATAGCAACCCCTCCGTGGGTTTCTGAGGCATTATCACTACGCAAGTAGATTGCCCAACCTTTCTTCTGAGGAGTGGCTGGTGCGTTTGAACCAGCAGCCTTCTGTTTAGCAGTCAAATCCCTTAGGCACTACATAAATAAACTGTTAGAATAGTTTGATAAGTAGGAGTTACTAAGACATTGAGCTATCACAAACTATGTTGTAAAAGCATAAGAATTTTGGGGCCATGGGTTTTACGATTGCTATTCTAGTTCAGTGGAAGTTATTTCTCCTACTTTTATCTGGATGACTATGGTTATAAAAAATCTGATTCTTGATATATGATGTACTGTCAAATTAACTTTGTCTTTTAATTTTAAATTTAAAAGATAGTTTTATTATACTTTACCTCAACAATAAATTCACTGTTAACTTCTAGCACCACCTGTTAAGAAAGCACATCATTAGCACAAATTTGCATAATCCAAAGGGAGCAATGTACAGACACTGACAATGCTATTGAAATATTCATTTATTAAATATGTATTTTGTTAATTATATGGAAAATATATGAGTAATACTCAATTAGTAATACAGAGTTTTGGCCTACAAAGGCCAGCTGTTAGGGAAGACACACACATAATTCTAGAGCAAGGCAGGCTGAGAAATACCACAACAGAGTTCCCAGTGGATTCAAAAGAAGGAAAGAGCAGACAATTCAAATTACCAAAATTAATTTTGGGAGGCATCCTAGGAAAGAGGACTTTGGAAGGACTCTGGAGGACAAGTCTGTTTTAGTAGAAGGAATTGATGGAGAAGGAAATTTCAGCCAAAGTGAAACATGAACGCAGGTGTAAAGACACTGTTTCAGAAGCTATTCCAATAATAGTTAAGAATCACATTACTAGGAAGGTATAGGAAATCGTGAAGGACCATGGAGAAAGGTTTGGAATGTTAGATCAAAAAACGCCTTATATACCAGGCTAAGGAGTGTGGGCTTCTAATTGGGTTTAAACTGGGAGTGACAAAAACATTGTTTTTTTAAACCTGTCATTGATATGAGGGTAAGTTTACAAGTGAAAACACTCGAAGTTGAGACACTTAGGAATTTGTAATTGCTTAGGTGAGACATCATTGGAACCTGAACACAGGTGCTAAAGTCGTCCTGGAAAAAGAGAGAAAGAAGATGTTACAAAAGAATAGAAAAGACTTAATAGATGGTAGGATTCAAGAGGAAAGAATCAAATGATTGTGGAAATTCAAGCTTAGTTTTCTGGGAGTGTGGAAGTATTATTAATAGAAACAGAATTCAACAGAAGATTCTCAGTACAGGAAAATGATAACTTAAATTTGTTTTATTTGTTTACTTTAAATGTGCCTCTAAAATTCAGGATAGATATAACAGCTGAAAGGATCTCTGGTGGCGCAGTGCCCAAGGCATTTGACTGCTAACCAGAAGATTGGCGGTTCAAATTCACCAGCCACTCTGTGGAAGGAAGACTGGGCAGTCTACTTCTGTAAAGATTTACCATCTCAGAAACCCAAAGGGGAGCTTTATGTGTTGGAATTGACTTGATGGAAGTGGGTTTGGGTTTGATTAGATAATAGCTGAAGAAGTGTAATTCATCCAAATAGAACTGCTGTTTGAAGTAGAATGAAATGAAGATATTAAATGAAACAGTTTAAGAAGAGAAACAAAAAGGGCAGAGCACAGAACTTCCTGGGAGATGATCAAATTTACATCGGAAGAGAAGGAAGAAGTGTAAATGCAAGGACTTTGATGTTGTTGTTATGTGCCGGAAAGTCGGACCTGACTCATAGCGACCCCTCCTTGGGTTTCCGAGTCAGTATCACTATGGAAGTAGATTGCCCCATCTTCCTTCTGAGGAGTGGCTCGTGGGTTTGAACTGCCAGGCTTCTGGTTAGCAGTCAAGTGCCTTAGGCACTATGCTACCAGAGCTCCCAAAGGACTTTGATAGACTAAGCTTATAGAAAGGTCAATGAACCAGTGGTGTGGGTGCACAGCGGATTCTGTCAGTAGCAGAAGGTGGAGGTGGTGATGATGGTGGTGGTGGTCATGGCAGTTGTGGTGGAAGTTAGTAATGAAGCCGAGTTTACATAGAAGAACAGTTTAGATAAGAAGTAGCCAGAAAGGAGAAAGAATGATTAGTGTGGAGTGACGAGAAATTTGGCAAAGAGGGAAGATTTAATTGTTTAAGTGTAGTAGCAGTAGTAGCATGATCAGGGAGAATGGGAACTGAGAAGGTCCTAGCATCTTAGAGCGAGAACCGTTGTTAACTTTTGCAAGTGCCATAAGCCAAATTACAGGAGTCAAGCAATGTACTGGTTTTGAGGCTGCAAAAATAGTAATCTTAGGTTACATTTTTGACAAACTACAATGTAAATTTTATGAGAACTATGAGGGGATCACGGAGTCCTGGTGGTGCAGTGGTTAAATGCTTGGGCAATAACTGAAAAATTGGAAGCTCAAACCACCATTGGCTCAGTGGGAAATGCTATGGGGGATTTTTACTCTGCCCTATAGGGTTGTTGTGAGTTGGAATTATATCAAGATACACACACACATACATACATGTATATAACGTTTTGTTGTGTTTTAGGTGAAAGTTTACCAACAAATTAAGTTTCTCTTTTAACAATTTTTATACAAATTGCCCTGTGCCATTGGTTACAGGTTTTAAAATTCCTTGTCTTCTCATCTTTGCTTTTGGGTAACTGTTGACCATTTGGTCTCATATAGTTAATTGTTTGAGGAAGTATATTATTCATGGGTAATATTGTTTATTTTATAAGCTGATCTATTATTCGGCTGAAAGGAGATCTTTAGAAATATTTTCAATTCCAAAGACATATTTTTTAGGTTCAGAAACCATGACCAAATAATCAACTCATAGGTGGAGGAAAGAAGGTTTGTGGAGAAAAACATAGAGAGGAGTAAAAGGGAAAAGAGAAGGGGAGAAGGAGGGAAAAATCATAATTAAAGAAAAATATGTTTAGGAGAGATGAAGAATGGCTGAATCAAAAGTACAGGTAAAAGACACTTGATAATGAGGAAAAAATATTTCTTCTTCAGCCCAGGAGCAGGTTATTAACAAGAATCTCCCTCTCCTCATCTTCAGCTTTGCACATTTCTTCTTTCTCTTTCCCTCATCACCTCTCATCCTCTGCTCTCTTTCTTTTCTTTGTTGTTTTCTTCCACTTGTTCCACTCTCCCCACCTGACTTTGCCTTGGGTCTGACAGAGAACCACAAATGGCATCATTATGTTGCTCACCCACTCACAACCTGTGAGGACGAGTGGAGCTGCAGAACCTCAAAGCTATAATCAACCCAATAACCTAATTTTAACTTGAAAGAGTACTAGCTTGGGTTCTCTGCTCAAAGTTCAGTCAAAGAATGTGGCAGGTAATTTCCACTCTTTGGTGGAATGCAGTCTCATCCTGATTTCCGTGTGCTTAACAAGAAGTCTACAAGGTTAGTATTAGATTTAAGTGGTGTTAAAGCAGCAACTTGAAAGTGAACCCAAATCACTGTTCTACAGATTGTTTTGACTCAGTACCTGAAGCTTCTCTTGAATCACATGATATGATTTCACTCAATTGTTATGATTTTGCTCTTACTTTGGCCTTATATAAGGAGCTCATATAAGGTGCTTTGGTTAAAGTTTTGGTCTGCTAACCAAAAGTTCGGTGGTTTGAATCCACCAGCTCCGTGGGAGAAAGATGAGGCAGTGTGCTTCTGCAAAATCATAACAATTATGGAAAATAACATCAGGTAATTTATATATAATGATTTACACACTTGGAAACCTTATGCGGCAGTTCTTCTCTATCTTATAGGGTCACTATAAATCAGAATTGAACCAATAGCAGTGGATTTGGTTTTGGTTTGTCTCATATAATGGCCCTGACCCTGGATAAATACAAATACTTATCTCAATTATTCCTAATACTGTCCTGCAGAGGTCTTCAAAAGTTTTTGGTTATGCAATCCTATTTTTTTTTAAACTATGTCTTCCTCCATTTTTCTATAGTGATATCTGAAAATTTTATTATAAGTAGTTGCACAAGATGAAATTTAAGAATATTGTAAATGTGGATATTTTAAAATAAAATTGTTACACCATTTGTTAATGAAACCTAAATACTGTAATCATTTGATACCCAGTGCTGTCTATTAAGAAAAGATGAATAAGTTCTTCTGTAACAATTGGGAGTTTTATTTCACTCCTATTTCTCTTTGAACTCGTATGTTCTATTTCCACTCGGTAAACCAAGCTTTGTAAAGAAAAGTCAGATCTCTCACCTACGGAATATACTTAAATGTATTTTTAAGTTTTAAATACATTTTAATATATGTTAATGCTTTTATTGATCAGTGTACCAAACTTCTCTGCAACAAAAAATATGTGTATGAGTAGAAATTTTAGGACTCTAAATGTTAAAAAATAATTTCTTCCTGATTGAATTAGCTTTACAGTTACTATTAACACACAACTGATCAAATAATGTGCACATTTTGAACTCTTTGCTTTAGTATTTTTAAATTTACCAAAAAATATACCAAAAACAAACAAACAAACAAAAAACAAACAAACTCACTGCCTTTGAGTCATATCTGACCTCATAGTGATTGATGCTGAAACTTATTTAACAATACTAAAATAGTAAATGGGAGCTCTGGTAGCATAGTGGCTAAGGCACTTGACTGCTAACCAGAAGGCTGGCGGTTCAAATCCACCAGCCACTCCTCGGAAGGAAGATGGGGCAATCTACTTCTGTAGTGATATTGCCTCGGAAACCCAAGGAGGGGTCGCTATGAGTCGGGTCCAACTTGACGGCACATAACAACAACAACAACAACAAAATAGTAAAAACCAAAAAAGTATTTTTAAATAAGTTTAAAGAATCTCATGACTTTGCTACTTAAAAAAGGAACTCTAGTGTTATAATCTGTTCTTCTACGTGAACTCAGCTTCATTACTAATCTCCACCACACTACCACCACCACCACCACCACCAAAGAAGTATTTTTAAATATAGAAAGTAAAATTTACTTGGAAATGCATTGTGAAGATATGGAGGAACCTTTTTAAAATATTAGTTCATGAGTAAATATTACTGATTGCTAGAATTTAACAAGTTTCAGTATCAATCCTATTTTTGTCTCTAAGTACTGAGAAATCTCGTTCATACAAATAGGTAGATGGTATTGGAGGGTTTCTTTTTTAGTAGCAACCCAAACCTAAAACCCAACCCACAGCTACTGAGTCAATTCTGACTCACAGCGACTCATAGGGTTTCCAAGGCTGTAAATCTTTATGGAAGTAGATTGCCTCATCTTTCTCCTATGGAACAGCTGTTGGGTTTGAACTGCTTACCTTCTGGTTAGCAGCCAAATGCCTTATCCTATGCTATTAGAGTTCCTTTTTTAAGTAGCAGAGTCATTGAATTCTTTAAACTTATTCTGAATTACATGTACCTAATCTACGGAGTAATCTATCATTAAAAATTATTTTTTATGATCTATTAGATGACAACTGCATTCCAAACCAAACCAAACTCACTGCCATTGAGTTGATTCTGACCCATAGTGACCCCATAGGATTTCCAAGGCTGTAAATCGTTATGGAAGCAGACTGCCTCCTCATTCCTGAGGAGCAGCTGGTGGTTTCAAACCACCAAACTTTTGGTTAGCAGTCAAATTCCTTAACCACTGCACTATCAAAGATCCTTGACAATTGTATTAGGTCCTCCTTAAATTCGTTGAAAACAATTGGAAACTACCTGACTTACAAAATAATTTGTGATGCAGTCTGTAGAGTTAATTCTCTTTCTCAATACTGACATGATTATTTTGGATTTCCCGTAGTTTAGTGTCCCAGGTATTTTTTCAATCCATTGCAGTGTGGTGTAGAATAGTGCAGCTGCCACGGGTGACAGAGGTGACTTTTTAAAGTGCGTGTTGGAAGAGGAGAACCAACTTGAACCAAACTTTAACTTATGTTACCTTATGTGCCCCAATTGGAAGACCACTGTTAAAGTAGCAATTAAATTGGTCTCAGGTTTCTCCAGTTGGTGTACAATTCTAAGTCAAATAATTACTATGCAAAAATGGACATGTAGCCCTAAATTATAATTAGGATTACAAAAAGCAATGTGGTTTAGAGAAAAGTCTTTAGACTTGGAGGTGGAAGAACCACGTGTGAGTCTTGGTTCTGTTGTTTACTAGCTATGTGATTTCGGGGAGTTCCCCCAGCCTTTCTCTCTTTCAGGTTCTGATCTCAATAGAATAACAAATGTGAAGATGACAGGCACAGTGCATACTCAGTGAGCGTATAAAGAGAAAGGGACAGGGAAAGAGAGTTTTCTTCTATGCTTTACAGAGTGTGTCCATTAAAAAAAGTACTGTTGCTGTTGGTTGTCGTGGAGTCGATCTCCACTCATGGCGGTCCCAGGTGTGCAGAGTAGAATGGCTCCATTTTTCAAGGCAGATTGCTAGGCCTATCTTTCAAGTTTCCTCTGGGTAAGTTTGAACCTCCAACTTTTCGGTTAGTAGTGAAGTGCTTAACCATTTATGCCACCAAGTTAGAAAAGTACTAATCAGTCATGTATGGAGATTTGAATTTAGCCATGATCAGTCAGATTAGTCTTTAGTTTAAAAGGATAAAGAAAGTGTGCTAAGTTCTTTTTCTGGTCATGGCCTCTCTACAGAACACAGCTCAATTGAAGATAGCAGTGATCCAAAAAAATCTAAGAATCCTTGACCATAATTTGTACACCTAGGACCAATTTATTAATAAGTAGTTCTCAGCTGAGTGAAACAGTTGTCATCCTCATAGGGATATGGTAGAGATGCCAAGTTCCAGATTAATTATACCACTTTTGTTTATAATTGAAGGTCTATCAAGAAGTGGCATTTTAGTTTGTAAGCCTTATAATTTTCTGCATAGAAAGGAAAGGCAGACATTTCTCATGCAAGTAGCATCTGAAGGTTTTACTCCAGTCCTTCCTTTCACACACCCTGTCATCAGAGCTGCTGTCCAGGAGTGAGGAATTCCAACTGAGAGCCCACTTGGGAGAGGGAAGGAAACATTACTTCAACTCAAACAACGGTTTCACTGCTCTACAAGGAACTCCTTCCTGCAATTTTAGTTTCTTTAAATGAGGTCTTGACCCAGATTTAAGGCCCTGTCTAGAGGCAAGTCCATTTCCTTTCTCGAACAGCTGATTAAGTCTTTTCTCCAGTCAACCCCCTTGTCAGGTTCTCATACTCCTTGTCAGGTTCTCATACTCCTAGGTCACTGTGCACCCATCCTAATTACCTGGGGTCAAGTACCCACAAGTAAAGTTAGCCCCTACGCCCCCTGAGCGTAGGGGCTAACCTTACTTGTTGCAGAATTATTCAAAATGCCCAGTTCCCAGGAAACCCTTGAAACTTAGGGTGTCCCTCTCTGCTTGCCATACATAAGTCCTCTCCTATAATTCCAGCTTGTTTTTATCTTTCCCCTCAATGCCAACCCATGTGCATCCCTGAGTCATGGCATGCTGTGCTGCCTTATTTCTGGAAACTATGAGTATAATAAACCTAGTTGCTTTTAATGGCCTCCCTGGTTCCTCTTTCTCATGTTGTACCTGACTTACCAACCCATGAATTTATTAGAACAATGCCTGGATACTTAAGAACTAGAAAGGAGTCATAAACTATGTACTCAGGACCCAAATGTTGTTGTTGTTGTTGTTGTTGTTACGTGCCGTCGAGTCGGCCCCGACTCATAGCGACCCCTTCTTGGGTTTCCGAGGCAGTATCACTACGGAAGTAGGATTGCTCAATCTTCCTTCCGAGGAGTGGCTGGTGGGTTTGAACCGCCAGCCTTCTGGTTAGCAGTCAAGTGCTTTAGCCACTATGCTACCAGAGGACCCAAAAGCTCTTTAAAAATGAGACAAATCTTCAAAATAAAGGAAAAGAATTATAGTGTATCAAAAACCATGATGTATTTTTAGGGCAGTTTTTTTTTTTTTTTTTAATAATACAAATCTATAGATAGATTTAATTGAAGTATTTCCATATTATATGTACCATGAATGGTCCCATATGTGGACAGGCATTCTTATTGGATAAAAGCTACTTACTTGATTGTTTTATGATCTGATCAACTTGATAAAATAGAGGTCTCTCACAGCTGCATTAAGTGATTCCTTTCTAGTAAAATTTACATAATCCATAGCATTATCCAAATTTTTCAACTACTCAACCAAAGTTATAGAAATATTCAAAATTATAAGATAATATTCAGGAGCCAGACACGAACTTGACTACATAATTATTAAATAGAGAGAATTATGGAATCACAGAATTTCTGCAGTGTCAGAAGCTTACTGACATCATGTCTAACTCCTCATTCTCAGATGGGGAAGTATAAGACCCTGAGAGGTCGGATGCCTTGGCCCAAGTTACATAGCTCTTTGAGCTGTGACTCAAACTTGGGATTATTGAGTTTTAGTTCAATGTTGTTTTTACCTCACCACCCCAATCTGTTTTACAGTGGAACAGGGTGAACATTGAAGAAAATGCCAAGGGAATCATGTGATAAAATAAAATGCCCTACTGTAGCCTAGAGTTTTGAGTACGTTTTATTGGTTAAGTAAGTCAAAACCTTGTTTAAAGTACGCTTTGTGGTTGGAATATAAATGACACAAAGTACCTGTAAGTCTCTGAGAGTTTGCCACACCCTCATTAGTGTAAGCTGCAATAATGCTCCAAAGAGGCTTTGATTTACTTAATGAAAACGTGGAAGAGTTCAAGTTCAGGAAATTAAAGACAAGTAGGCATGCCTGTTTTCCACAACATATATAATATTATATTAATTCTACTTAAATATTTTTGCATTTGTTTAAATCTTGAAACATGCTCAAAGTCTCTACTTCCCAATTCCAAACACTATTAATTGATATCTAAGTCCTCTATTAGAAATGCGTAGAGAACTTACAGTCTATTGCAGTTAATATGATATGTAAAACACAAATACTTTTATATCAGCGGGGAATGAAGAAATTAAGTGCCAAAAATACTGAGATTTTTGTTGTTGTGTGGCATCAACTCATAGTGGCCCTAGAGGACGAAGTAGAACTGCCCCATAAGATTTCCTAGGCTATAATCTTTATGGGAGTAGATTGCAGGTCTTTTCTTCCTCCGAGCAGTTGGTGGGTTCAAACCACCAACCTTTCAGGTAGCAGCCAATGTCTTAACCCTGTGCCACCAGGGCTCCTGAACACTATGATCGCCAGGGGGAAAATTAAGCAACATTTCCAAAATGATATCCCGAGACTCTGACATATAATATTCTTTCACAATTAAGGAGAATAAATATTAACTTTTCAATTAAAAATATTATCATAAAACATGCCTATGTACAGACCAGCAGGAGACAAATTTAGTTCTCCGAGTTGCCTCTAAAATCTTGACATATGTAATCAGTTTTCCTTACAGAAAAAAAAAAGGTTGATCTGGGGGAAAGCATGGAGATAATTTGGAGAAGTGTAACAAGAGGTATATGGTGATAATTCACTATTTCATTTAAAGACTGAGTCAGA